CACATGCACAACAAATCTCCAAATACCAGCTCAACACACAAGTCGAAGGCCCATGTGGTGGGGACTGAACCGTCGTTTCCCCATGGGTTTCCTTTATTACCTACTGATTTGGCGGCGGCAGCCGGAGCCCGCCACAAATTTAGGAACAGGGCACCGTTCGAGCGACTATCATTGCTCTCCGGATCGTACTATTCTACTGAGATTCCAGCGGCAGCCGAAGCCAGTCGCGAACTCAGTAACGGTGCACCATTCGATGAAATGAGGACTTCGTACCCGTGTCCATTCCCCCACCTTCGAAAGACACGGGGTGGGTGGGTGGGAACAAGACACTACTTCCTGTGGCCATATTCCGAGATCACCTCTCGCGCTCACGAGCGCTTCGACCTACGGCGCTGGCGCCCTCGAAGCCGCGTGTGACGGCATATCTGGTCATGGTGACAAATTTTGGGTGCGACCAAAATCTTACGAGACATGGCGTCAGATTTCATCGGCAATCGACGTTCGACTGACTCGAAGCCGCGTATGACGGCATATCTGGTCATGGTGACAAATTTTGGGTGCGACCAAAACCTTTCGAGACATGGCGTCAGATTTCATCGGCAATCGACGTTCAACTGGCTTTCATTTTTGCACTCCGGATTCGACTACCTACTGTGGAGGCGGCGGTGGCCGAAGCCCGCCTCTGAGCTCAGTAACAGGGCACCGTTCGAGCGACAAGTCTTTTTTTTCATAGTATTGATTTATTTCATTGCACTCCGGATCCGACTACCTGCTAAATTTGCGGCAGAGACCTACACCAGCCGCAAACTCAGCGAGAGGGCCCCGTTCGAGCCACAATTCATTCTTGTTGGACATTGTCGACTAACCGGCTCAGCAACAGACCACCGTTCGAGCGACGTCCACTCCGGATCCAACTACCTACCGTAGGTAGCACATGATACCACACCCACAGAAGATATCACACCCTATCACACCCTCCCAACAACACCTCCTGTGCCTGGCACCACCCGGGCTGCTGAGGTCCGGTCAGCAGAACCTACTACCGCTGACACTCCCGCAACAACACCTGCTGTGCCTGGCACCGCCAGTGCTGCTGACGCCGCAACCCAGAAATCTTGTGGGGGCACTCCATGATAGGTGTAACGTTATCAAACCCCATGATTTCGCACTCCCTGTAGGTTGGGTTGTGTGGGCGCACTTCTTCCCACGGGTGACAATTTCACCCCCCCTTGTTACCACCCCCCCCCCCCCCCTCGGGTGGAGTCGTGTAGGCGCAGTTATTTCGTTTGTGACGTTATCACATACCCTTTTGATCATACACCCCTGTTATCACACCCTCTGCGGGGTGAATCCTCTGCGGGGAGTTATCACACGGGTGAAACGAGATATCACACCCCCTACCACACCCGTGTGATACCTTTTGGACCTTCAAAAATGTTATCACACGGGTGTGATATCTTGTGTCACCTACGGTACTGGGTTGGCGGCGATGACCGAAGCCAGCCATTAACTCAGGACAGGGCGCCGTTCGAGGGACTAATATTTGCACTCCGGATAAGACTACCCCCTAAGTTGGCGGTGACGGCTGAAGCCAGCCCCAAACTCCGCAACAGGGCACCGTTCGAGCGACAAAATTATTGTTGTATGACATTTTGATATTCATGCATTGTATAAAAAGCAATCGAGAAGAGACGGACCGAGTGGCACCATGCGTGCCGGATTGAATTTCTTTTAGCCAATTCCCCCCCCCGAACGCTGCACCATTGCACCAACCCCCAGTAGTGATGACGTACCATTACAATCGCTGATTGGTGGCCATGTTTGCGTGTTTGCTTGTTCGTTAGTGGTCTCTCCACCGTGTGCCTGTTTCTGCCTCATATTTCTTGTTATTTTTGGCCTGTTCCTTTTTTGTCCTCGCTCTTTTTCATTTTATGTTCTCTTTTTCTTGGGTTTAATTATTTCCGGATTGGGTTTGGTGGGGGGGTCCTTTTCTGAGCCAAAACGGGTAGGAAAATGACATTTTCCAACAGCGCAGTTTCCAACAGCGATTCCGGCCGGCCTGTTAGAAAATTGGCCCATTTTCCAACACCGATCCTGTTAAAAAAATCGCTGTTAGAAATGGGGGGGGGTACCACCTGGTCACACCCCGATCGTGCCAGAACGAGGAACTACACCGTCTGCTGGCCAAACGGTGGCCAGTATCATGAGGTCATGCACAAACCCTCTCCAGGTCTCTAAAATTCAGGGCGTTCTGCGTCGTGTTGGCCGCACACGAGCAGAAAACGTCAACCTTGCCACATTGCTCTGCTGACGTTCTTGCCTTTGGGCCGAAAAGAGCCGTTTTTGCGCATGCTGCATGTGTGACCAGTTCAAAACGCATGCCAGAGAGAGGCCTTAAGCCGTCGACATCCACAAACTGCAGCCAATGGCGTGTGTTCATACTCATGCCCTCTGGTCGCGTACCAGAAACAGAGATGGTTGTCCAGTTTTGATTGCACACGGCCTGTAAACGTGAACCAAAGTGTGTTGCGGTGCTGACTTTTTGGTCTTTTTTCTTGTTTCGCCGCATGTTTGCTCCGCGTGTCATCCGCGACCAGTCAAAAACGCATGCCAGAGAGAGGCCTTTGGCCGACGACATCACGAACAGCAGCCAGTGGCGTGTGGTCATACACATACCCTCTGCTCGCGTCCCAGAAACAGCGTATTGTCCAGTTTTGATTGCACACGGCCTGCAAACGTGAATCGAGCTGTGGTTCGGTGTTGCCTTTTTTGCACGTTGCTTTTTTTTCTGCCGCTTGCTCCGAGTCGATCTACAACGCATGCCATCAGAGAGAGGCCTTTGGCCGACGACATCCACAAACTTCCGCCACTGGCGTGCGATGATATACATGCCCTCTGCAGGCGACCCATACACAGGGCGCTCGGTGTCTTGTTGGTCGCACACGAGACAAAACCGTGTACTGAAGCATGTTGTGACTCACAAGAACATGAATCAGCCTCTTTTTTCCCTTCAGAAAAAAATATACCTCAAGAAACCGTAAGGCCGAGTCTTACGTCGTGATTATTTCCGGATTGGGTTTGGGGGGGGGGTCATTTTCTCAGCCCAAATATTTTTTTGAGCGTCTTACGCGGAGGAATTTGGCCAATTCCAAACGCCCAAACTCCAAATCGCCGAATATTTCCTAGGGTCCCAGCTGCCGCGTTGGAAAATAGGCCCATTTTCCAAACTGGATCGGCTGATAATTTCCAGTTTGGAATTGGGGGGGGGTACCCCCTGGTCACACCCCGATCGTGCCAGAGCGAGGAGCTACACCGTCTGCTGGCGAAACAGAGACCAGTATCATTAGGCCATGCACAAACCCTCTGCAGGTATCAAAATTTCAGGGCGTTCTGGGTCGTGTTGGCCGCACACGAGCCGATAACGTCAACCCTGCCACATTGCTCTGCTGACGTTCTTGCCTTTGGGCCGAAAAGAGCCGTTTTTGTGCCTGCTGCGTGTGTGACCAGTCAAAACACACGCCAGAGAGAGGCTTTATGCCGTCGACATCCACAAACTGCAGCCAGTGGCGTGTGATCATATGCGTACCCTCTGCTCGCATCCCAGAAACACATCATATTGTCCAATTTTGATTGCACATGGGCTGTAAACGTGAACCGAAGTGCGTTGCGGTGTTGACTTTTTGGACTTTTTTCTTGTTCCGCCGCGTGTTTGCTCCGTGTGTCACCCGCTACCAGTCCACAACACATGCCAGAGAGAGGCTTTCGGCCGATGACATCCACAATGGCGTGTGATAATACATAATCGCTCTGCTCGCCCCAGAAGCAGAGCGTATTGTCCAGTTTGATTGCACACGGCCTGTAAACGTGAACCGAAGTGTGTTGCGATGTTGACTTTTTTGAACGTTGCCTTTTTTTTTCTGGTTGCTCCGAGCGTGATCAATCCACAACGCATGCCAGAGAGAGGCCTTTGGCCGACGACATCCACAAACTGCAGTCACTGGCGTGCGATTATATACATGCCCTCTGGAGGCGACCCCAAAACAGGGCATTTGGTGTCTTGTTGGTCGCACAAGAGCCAAAACCGTGAACTGAAGCATGTTGTGACCCACAACGACTTTGAATCGGCCCCTTTTTTCCCCTGAGAACAATATCTGTCTCGAGGAACCGTAAGACGGTCGTATGGATCCAGATAATTTTTCCCTTGCAGACAACCCCCCCCCCCACCGAGAGAAAAAAATAATCTCAGAAAAAGTTCTCTCTTTTTCTGTGCTAGGCCTTGTCTCTGCTTGCGTTGTGAAGTACCAAGATTGAACCAAGGGGGTGTACCTCTTTCTCTCCGGCCCATGATATTGACTCCTAGTCTCAGTTGAAACCTCGCATAGCTCGCAGAGGGGGTGGAGGACTCCAGAGTTTCTGTCGTTGGTTTCTATTGACTTGCGGACCCCTCGGGGCCAGTTTATTTGAGTGTACCTTTTTTCGGGTAAGTTCACCTGTGACCACGGGAATCGACCGCGCCGAGTGTTGGATCAGTATGGACATACGGAGGTACTGGGTAGAGAGAGATCGGAACGGTATTTTATGTGAAGACAACAACAATTTGTATCGCGCTCCGGATCCGACTGCGTACTGAGTTGGCGGCGATGGCTGGGGCCATACCCCGGTGCAGCAACGGGCACCGTTCGAGCGACGTCAACCCGGATCCGATTATCCGGGAGAACCTACGGAATACGTGCATCGACAGTATCTTTTGACACGTGCATGACACGCGTACGGTTGTTTCATTTGCAGTGAAGTGTGCTTCGTCGTTGCAGGGGGCATCCGCGTCTTACCTCCCCCTCGCCCCCACCCAGCTCAATTGCATTTCCACCCATCGTGTGCCCGATTTTGCAGTGCTGGCACTGCGGCTCACACGCATTATCTTCCGGGTTCCTTGAAATGTACATCTGGTATCGCAGGCGACGGCGTGACGTTCGGCCCTAAGACGACAGCAGCGCACAGACATGGCTACAACAAGGGTGAGACAAGGGTCTGCCGGTCGCGGTTCCATCCGTTGTGTTACTCATGGGTTTCACCGAATTTCGTTTTGAATCTGACCCGCCCAAAGCGTTAGCTGAGGCGTTGCTCGAGGTCGAGATTCCCGCAGCATTACCTTCGGGATAGCATACCCACCGAATGTTTCCATCAAAACCCATGGCAAGGGACAGTGTCGTTCGTTCACATCATGATACAAGGCCCCAAATGACAATATATTTTTCCGTTGAAGGGGGCTACGTTTGCTCGCGGAAAAATTGGCAGGTTGTCGAACATATGGGTCGGTTCGCCATGACGCATCGTCGGGGTCCACATGGAGCTCCAGTCAGTACCACCCTTAGTGTTACGCAACCCTTCTTCTTGACTGTTCCAGGGGGCTCTACGGAAATGCACACCTCACACACTACACCCAAGCAACCTTGGTACCTTGATTCCGTGTACGTGCCTGGTACCTGCCAAGGTCAAGTTCGGGATATGGGCGGGAATAGTGGCGTTGCTGTTGGCGGGTTCATTGGGGGTGCATCCCGGGCCGGCGATCAACATGGAGACCTCCCTTAGGGCTTGTACCGTCGACGAACTCCTACCGCCAGCAATTTCTGAGGGGGCCTCGCGATCGCCTGAGTGGGTTGATTCGTTCGACCTTGAACCTCTATATGGGTGCAACTGCAGCTTCTATAAGGCCAGGTGAGCTGACACGGTACACACTGCAACATATGGTTCATGGCGAGCGGAGGAAAAAATATCCTCGATATGCTGCAATGATTCAAGGAGAGTGTATGTATGTATATCGGCAGGAGAACATCCACCAACAGGAGTATATTCATCCAGGACAACTGTTGTCTACGCTGAACATCTCATTCACTGCTTTGACTCGATATTTTCGCGAGCTCTTCTTGTTGGCAGCCGGAGAACGATCCACACGCGAGCACGCAGCCCCTTCTCCGCCCACCAGCTGCTGCTGCACCGCATAACGCCGCGCACACGCTTCATCACACGTAACTGCGCAGCGCCTCCCACCAACCAGTATGGCACTTATTGTCGAGGTTTCCAACAAGGCGGTGCACTGCCAGTCGAACGCACGAATGACCTCATGGATGCAATTGAGGTAATTAGCGATACGTTTGGAGGTGCGGCGATCGGCGAGGCTTCAATGAAAGCCCTGCAGTGCTTCCCTCTAGCATGGGCTTGTCTCACCGCCAACAACGAGGCAGAACAGAAGCAGAAAAACGGTCGTAGATGTATCGAGGTTCTAGTAGATAGTATATAAACCCAGACCAACCGCCGTACACGGAGATATCACAAAGAGTGAGGTCGACCACAGAACGACGAGACGAACTACTGTACGCAGCAGCAGTAACTCCTCCGCATGTACGTTACGTTCCAAACTTGGACCATGAACGAGAGGACAACTGAACATTTCCATAACACTCCCCCTCTTGAAAGTTCGGACAGGGACTCCAAATTTGCTAAGATAAAACAGGTTTTGAGATAAATCGTGAACACTTTTCCACCTTAAGAGCCTCTCTCCGCTGTTCAATCTGATTTTTTTTGCCTTATCTTGGATTCTAGCGAGCCTATCAGGAACGATCCTCTAAACGATGGCTTCAATCAAAATATATTTCCCAGAAAATTTGTGAGTCCGAAAGAGTCTTAAGAATAAAAATATCTAAAAGTTTTATGTGAAAGTGCTTCTGTGCTAACCAAGTGCTAAACTGCTGAGAGCGTTCATTGCGTTTTATCGACGATGATCCTACGTCGAGTCATAAGAAGCTAAACTCTCAAACACTCAAAGATGAAGGAATGAACATACGCGGAAGGCACCTCTAGACTGCGGTCCTGTGACGTCGGAGTTGCCAACTCCGGCCACGTCCTGCAGGCACACGGATCAGATGTACTGCCCAGACTGCTGCCTTTCAGTGCAGGCTACAAGCTGTAACAACACAAAGTGCGAGCAGGCCAAAGGCTTCACGTCAGTAGCGATACCACACGCTCTGACAGACTTTGATGCGCGGCTTGCGCGCAGAATTCCAGCTACGCGTCGTTCAGCGTAGGTTTTTCTTGTGGGGAGATCGTAGACGGTATCCCTATTTTGGTGTTTGTTTCGCACGCCCCAAGTCACGAAATCGCGTGATTGACGCGCGGAAATAACAAGCAGAATGGACGCCTAGACACTATGCCCCCCGAATACCCCCCCCCTCGGTGATGTTACTACCGAATAGTCCGTTTTAGACGCCAGGTGATCAGTCTGTTTCTAAAGCAAGCGAGTTGACTCAGTGTCATCTCTAACCAGTGTCCAGCCTTGAATACTGTATAGATTCCGATGTTCGTATCGCACCTTTGACTCCTTAGATATCTTGGCACCACGCTTTACCACGTCGCTCGTAACCTATTCTAGGGATTATGGTGTATGTCCCAGCACACAGCAACGAAGTATAAACGTATGTTCAAACATAGTACCGTTCCATCGCAGCCGTGATTAAAACATACTTCCTGGTATCATTTTTGCGAGTAGCTGTCCTCCATCGAACGACCCGTCATGTTGTACGTGTAATCACTCAGAAAGTATGATGGAAAGGCATGCAGTAGACCCGTGCTACATCAGCAGTAGCTGCAAAAGCGCTAGAGAGGCGGTGAGCTTCAGGAGGGCGCATGCGGACGGCCCTTTTCAGAAGCCATTTCACGCTGACTTTGCAGAAATCTACACAATGACAATGCGAATGCATACAGCAGTGGCTCCACGTTTCGGATCAGCGCCAGTCCAGAGGAATGTTGTATAAGGGTTTTACTACAGTTCTCCTTCATCGATAGTACATTGGGAAACTAAAAAAAAAAACGTTGGCATGCATGGGGTGTCAGGGTAGTTCATGGATGGGCAGTTTTGGGTGCCTTACTGCTGCGTACCAGGTACGAGAGAGCAGCAGCAGTTGAAGAGGCAGCAGCACTGAAAGCAGGCCTTAGTCAAGCGGCAGCCGTCCATCCTGCCGCAGTAGACAGTGGTGGACCCATGCTGCAGCAGCCCCAAGAAGGGGGCGCCCCGCCCGCCGTCCCCCAAGACTTCATGCAAAATCACTCAACGGTTTGGAACAGATTCAAGGTTATGAACTAGTTCACGAAGGGCCCTTCGCCCTAGATCAGCAAGTAAGTACAGTAGCTTGTGTAGCACCCCGCCGGACCCCTCCCCCTGAGTGTTTTGCATTACAGATCCTTTGCTGCTGGTTTGTGGTAAAAGATTCTAATGTAGCGTAGGAGTGGTTTGAGTGCGATACACACCCCAAGCACGACACGAATATCATACTCGTGTTTGCAAGCCTAAACATGTGGACGAGGTCTCCTGCTGTTGGGCTACGGTGATTTTGCGAGTGCATATGATGTGTCCGTGTGTTTATATTGTTAGCATCGACCGCGCTAACCGGCTGACCAATTACATTACGTCAGTCCCGGTGCGGTTGAAAACAGAAAACAATTCTAAATGCCGTTAACTGGGCCCCTGTGAGGGGGCGGCATGGTGTCCGTGTGTTTGACTGGGGTGCTGTCCACGCGGGTGTGTCCGTGCGTGTGATTTTGCTGTCCTGACCCTGGTCGGAAAAAAAATAATGTGATCGAGTCCATGTGGTCGAGCACTCATGCGCTTAGTTCAATCTCCCACATTTCTGGCAGTTTTGCTACACCACCCATGGAGCACCCATGGGCAGCCCATGAACTGCCCACGAAGTGCCCACCGTGGGCACTTCAACCTAAACTTAGCCACCCAGCGCCAACCTAGCACGTCGTATCGTGCGGGCTTGGGGTTAGGATAGGGTTAGCATAAGGATTTTCAGCCGTTATGATGCCCCTAGCAGATAATCATATGTTTAAGAGTACACTGGTTCCGGTTGAAGAGGACTGATTGACGGTACATGGGCCGTCCATCAGCTAGCTGTCCACGGGCTGGGAGCAGCGGATGGGGCGGGGACCGCGGGCGGGATCTACGGTCGCGGCTCCGACTTCTGGGGCTGGGACTGAAGCGGGGGAGTGGAGGCATTTCACCCCGGCACCTGACGCCGCTCTCCGCCAATCGCGGGCTGGTATGCAGGAGTCGGCGACGACCGCCGGTGCGCCGGTGCCTGCGACGGGGCCGTAACCCACCGACCTGGCCGCCAACGCGCGGCGAGACCTACATGACGATCCGGGGTCCACGCCGAGTAGCTACTGCTACTATACCATGGCGAGGACGTGGGGGCGACACGAGAGGTGCCCCACCGAATTGAAATACGTCGCCTGCTCCGGCCCGAAGGACGGATCCAATAGCGCAAAGGGACACGCGGTCGAACATGAGGACTCCACTGTCGCGTTCGAGGCGGCTGTGGATCGAGCCTGGCCGAACACCCCGTGAGCCTTCGCAAAGCGGTGGCATACAAGGGAGGAGCAGAATAAGAAGGCAGCCTCAGCGGAGGCTGACAAGGGGAATGAAAATAGATCGTCAGAGGAGGCCGCGAGCAAGAGGAAAAGGCTGGAAGATCTTCAGGCCGCTACTGAGGGAAAAACGAAGGTCGCCACATGCCCCGCCAAGATAGCGGCGATCAAGGAAGCGGAGCAGGAGAGCGGCAAGCGCAAAACAATGATCACCAGTCCGAAAACAAACCTGGGTTAAGTCTAGGAGACGAGGCTGGAATCAAATAGTGTGCAGTAACAGCCTACGAAAGTATGGTTTGCATTTTGGTTTCCAACAAACCTCGTTTGATTCTTGTTGAGTTGTTTTGGTTTCCAACTTGAATACACGACGGAGCGTCAGGGGTGTGATATTTCGTTTTGGCACGAGTAACGGAACGCATTTGTATAATTTTTAGCGCCGGAGGATATCCAAGCCTCGCCACATCAAGGCGTCCCCGTTCGCGCGTTTCCAGAGAACACTACGTGTTGGAGAGAGATCGGGGGGGAGGCTAGAGAATCAAAGTGGAGCTGTCGTTTCGGGGGGAAGGGTTCGCTTTGGCGCCTAGAAAATGGTGGCTGTCAGGAAACCTAACCTTTTGTCCAGAGGCACGCCCAAAAAATCTGACACATCCGGTACTGGGAAAGCACCAGAAAGAACGATTTTTCCCTATAAATGCAGTTTTGCCGAGGGGGTGGAGGGTATCAGCAACTACAAATCCGTGATTCTCTCAGCTACAAAACTATTGTTGACGCTGTTATTGTGGTCTCCACATTAAAACCCGTTCCGATCTCTCTACTCGGTTCCTCGATCCGTCCGTACTGATCCAACACTTGGCGAGTTCAATTTTCGTACTCAACAGACTAACGGGCATGTTTGCTCAAGCTAGAAGAGCCAGAACCAGTCAGGATGGAGCCCTCCGACTCGCTCTATACGGTATGTGACGCACAAGTGACACGGAAGTCTAAATCATACCCAATCTCAGGATACGCGTCATTCTCGATACCCCAATATATGCCGGGGTGTTGCGTGTCGGATTCTCGATGGCCAGAAAAAATATCTACTTCTCCCCACGGACAATACCGCACACATGACTCAAGGAAAGTCCGCTCCTGCCGACATACTTCCGGTCTTCCGGCAGTACAGTTGCACGGGAGGTATCAAACTCAATAACACGCTAGCAATATTTCGGTCAGATTAAACCAGTGCAACGACGAATTCCACAAACTCGCACATCAATACAGTCCTCTTCGTACGCCGACGGCAAGGGGAAAAGGACAGAACACAATCAGGCGGCCAAGATGTCTTTTTGCCGCTGCCGTTCTGAACCTCACAACCTCCCTATAGGCCCGTGTGACAGAGAAGTAAGTAACCAGCATCACGCGAAACCCTTCGGACCCTGTGGATAATGTCTCTCTGTCTTTGTCGTCCCCCCCCAAGGGCCTGGCCGATCCCTCCCAGCCGTAGGCCTCCGTCATGTTGGAGGAAACACAGTGATCCATGCGTTGTCGATGCTGTCGGGCTTTGTGAAGAGAATGCCTCCCTATATTGGTTTTCGTTCGAACAGCTCTTGTCATTATTTTCCTACGCCTGAGGAAAGAGAGAGATGCCAACTTGGCAGAACACATTTCCCCGCAGACACATTTCTGCGCCTTTTCTAACGTATCTCCGTCTTTGAACTCATCAAAGTGATTTCTCTCTCTTTCCTCCGTGTAGGAACTAATCTCATACGACCAAGTCCACATGATGGTACCCTGCTATTTCTCCGCCAACTTCGAGGTCATCATGCTGCTGCTCGTCCAGTGATATTAACCTCCTCTTTTGTCTTCCCCATACCGCGCCTGCTCCTGGCTGCGGGC